TACTTATATAGAGATGGTAGATATGGCTATATCTAGTCCCAAAGAAACACAGACTATGGGATATGCTCAGTTTCAGCTGTCTGACTTTCACTATCGAATGGTTAGGCCAGTCAAACAGCATAACTAGAAGTCTGACCTGACTCCTTCCACCTCCATCTCTGGAGCCAGATGTTCTGCAGTAGGAAGCAGAGATTTAGCATTGCAAAAAGCCCCCAAACCCAGTTCAAATTAGTCACCATGTTTCAATGACTGGATTTAGGTAGTTAAGAGGTCAGCTGTTGGATGTTTAAAAGGAAATCCTTGACTGCATTAGACTGGGCTTTACAGAAAATTATTCTGGTTACATCCTCAGTAGGTAAGAAGAAGAGACTGAGCAAATGACACATGGAGAAACTTCTGCACATGAATAAAAATGAAAGGCACCTCCTTGTATTCTAGCGCTTTTTTTTTCATAATCTTTGGGGAACTTTAAGTTATTTTCCACCTTTCTTAGACCCTGGCTCTTAGAGAGTCACTGTGGTGATATTAAAAAAAAAGAGAGTTTGGGAATCCTAGAGCTGTGTGGAATGTAGCCAGTCCCAAGCATGCAAAAATAATGAATCAGGCCCTGAAAAAACATTAGGTGGGTTTAAAACTAATGGGCCTTTTAAAAAAAATCTGCCTTCTGGTTTGCCCTGAAACCTTGAGGGCTGGAAACTTTTTTTTTTTAAATGAAAGATGAAATTCTCATGAAATCACACAACTTCAGAAGCTGGGACTTCAAGAAAAACACAAAATATGGTGAGAGTCACAATTAAAATCACTAGAGTTGGCAACACTGAAAATCGTAGTACTTGCCCTTCACTTTTTGGAATATTGCTTTTGGCTTTCGTCTACATGGGCTCTCACTTCCCAAATCCCTCCTCATAAGAACATAATGGCCATACTGGGTCAGACTAATGATCCATCTTGCCCAGTATCCTGTCTCTGACAATGGCCCAGAGCTTCAACGGGAGTTTACAGAACAGGGTAATTATGGAGTGATCCATCCCTGTCTTCCCCTCCTGGCTTCTGGCAGTCAGAGGTTTGGAGTTGCCCTGAGCAGGGGTTGCATCCCTGACCATCTTGGTGAAGCCAGTTCTACTTTTAGCCATCACAACATCTCATGGCAACGAATTCCACAGGTTAGTTGTGCGTTATGTGAAAAAGTATTTCCTCTTGTCTGTACTAAACCTGCTGCCTGTTAATTTCATTGGGTGACCCCTGGGTTTTGTATTGTGGTAAAGGGTAAATAAACCTTCTCTAGTCACTTTTTCCACATTATTCATGATTTTATAGACTTATCATATCCCCTTTAGTCATCTCTCTTCTAAACTGAACAACCCTAATCTTTTTACTCTTTTTTTTAATCGTTTCATACCTTGATTATCTTTGTTGCTCTCCTCTGAACTTTTTCCAGTTCACTATATCCTTTCAGAGATGGGTAGGGCCCTACCAAATTCATGGTCCATTTTGATCAATTTCACAGGCAGAAGGTTTTAAAATTGACCAATTTCACATTTTCAGCTGTTTACATCTCAAATTTCACAGTGTTCTAACCACGGAGGTCCCAACCCAGAAGTGGGTCTGATCTCACCACCCCCCCGCCCCAGCTGCCAGGCCAGGGAAGGACCAGTCCTGTCCTCTCCCAGTCCAGCAGGGGCTCACAGTTAGGAGCGTCCTTAGCTGGGGCACTCCCAGGAGCAGGGGGATATCAGACCCACCTCCACATATCTCCTCCAGCTGCAGAAACCTTGGCGACTGGAGCTTTCTGCAGCGGGGGGGGGGGGGGTACTGGGAGGTGGGTCTGATCTCCCACCGAGAATGAGAGCGCTGGGGAAGGACAAGTCCTCTCTCTCCCCAACTCAGTTGGGACTTGCAGCTAGGAGCCCCCTGACTGGGGTGCTCCCAGCAGCAAGAGGGAGATCAGATTTCATAGGGAAGGGCTTATTTCATGGGCCGTGACATATTTTTCACAGCTGTGAAATTGGTAGGGCCCTAGAGATGGGGCAACCAGAACAGAACACAGTATTCCAGGTGTGGGCACACCAGGGATGAATTTAGAGGTATTGTGATATTTTCAGTCCTATTTTCTATCCCTTTTCTAATAGTTCCTACCATTCAGGTAGCATTTTTGATTGCTGCTTCCCACTGAGCTGTAGTTTTCAGAGAACTATCCACAATGACTCCAAGAATTCTTTCTTGAATAGTAACAGCTAATTTAGATCCCTTTATTATATATGTGTAGTTGGGATTATTTTTTCCAGTGTGCATTACTTTGCATTTATCAATCTTGAATTTCATCTGACATTTTGTTGTCCAGTCACCCAGTGTGACAAGGTTGGGCCTTACCATCTGGCGCCTCCTGCTGGTTGTCTCCAGGAATTAGCTCTGTTCAGTGGAACGCCCCCTCCTGGTGGTGTCCCGTCCGTCGTCTCGCCCTCGGTTGGCGTCTGAGCCTGCGTCGCTCAACAGCTCATGGCGTCCTTTTCGAGCCACTGTCTTCCGGCAGTGCCCTTAGTCCATCCTCGCCCCCTTCCCGGGAGTGATCAATCCGCTGTCTCTCTGCACCCCGGCCAATGTGGGTAACTGCACCCCCAAAGTCACACCCCTCTTGGCAGGGGGTTGGTGCAGCCCAAGATGGCCACTCCCATCGGCCAGGTGTAAGGCAAGGGGGAAGGAGGGAACCCAGGCCCGCCCACTACTCTGGGTCCCAACCCAGGGACCCTCTAGTGGCAGCTATCCTGCCCTCCTTCTCTCCCTCCGTCTGTCCACGTCCTGGGCCGCTTCCCCTTCGGCCCTTCGCACTGGCTAGGCCCTTCCCCTCAGGGCCTGCAGCCTGGCAGACACAGGGCTGGAGTTCCCTTCTGCTCCCCTGGGGCTGCCCAGCACTGCGCTGTCCCAGGTGCTAGTCTCCCACCTCTGGAGACAGACTTTCCCCTGTTAAAGTCCTAGGACAGACTGCCTGCTCCCTCCCTGAGCAGCCTTTTTATAGGGCTGAGCCGGGCCCTGATTGGTTGCCTCCGATCCGGGCCCTGATTGGCTCCCAATAAGCCCTTCCCTCATTGGCTGACCATCTGCACAGGCCTGCTGCAGCCTAAATTCTCAGGGAGTGGAGCAGCTGCCCCACTACACCCATTTTTTTGAGATCTCCCGTAACTCTTCATAGTCAGCTTTGGACTTAACTATCTTAAATAATTTTGTATCGTCTGCAAACTTTTCTACCTCACTGTATCTTTTAAACAGGACCTTCCCTGTTATCCCATGACTGCTTAGTTTCCTCAAGAGCCCTTGCTAAGGGACCTTCTCAAAGGCTTTCTAAAAATCCAAGTACTCAATATCAGCTTGGTCACTCTTATTCATATGCTTGTTGACATCCTCAAATAATTCTAATAGCTTGGTGAGGCATGACTTCCCTTTACAAAAGCCATGGTGACTTTTCCCCAACAAATTATGTTTGTGTCTGATAATTCTCAAGGTTCTCTTTGATGTTAGGTTCAAATGAACTCAGAATCTCATAATGAAACTCAGTGAAAATGGCTACATTTCATTTGATTTATTGTCAAAATGATGTGGAACCCTGAATTTCATGTGATTTAATGAATGAGGCCAGAAGCACTTAGCTATGCATTCCAGAGTCACTCAAAAGGTTTGGGAACCTTTGGGATTCTGGCCTGCATTTCAAGTTTTTAACAAGATCCATTATGAGAAAAAACATGTAGTTTCAATGTAATAATTTTGCACATCTGTAATCAACTGTACTTCTCCTGAGGAAATCTCTTTTAGGCAGCATATTGTACATGAGTGAGAAAATGAAGCAGATCATATTTGCAACAAGAAAAGGAATACCAAATGCATGTGTGATGGTATGCCCACTCTCTGAGCACCAAGTACTGTGACTGCATACACAAAATGGGTAATTGTGAATGCAAATATGACTAATTAACCATGTATATGCCCAGCTACTAGGTTTCCATGTGAAGCCATGGTAATCGTATGTGCAGATTAAACATACAATTGTACTTTAATGTTACATGTTTACATTTGGAAAGTCTGTCCCAGATTTGTAGTGGCTGAAACAACAAAGGTAAAGTTGTAGAGTAAGTTGAAGTTTGTGTTTTTTCGTCACTCCTTTTCTGTCGTGACTCAGCTTGTCACCTGTGATGATCAACATTTCATGTTTGTCAAGATGCAGTACAGTACTTTGGGTTGCAGTACATTGTGCCCTATCCTGTGGCGTAACCTATGATAAGAAGCTCTTTGCTTCTCCAGTGTTCTCCAGTGGGGAAAACCCCATGCGCTATGCTATACATGTTTCCCATAACGTATTTCCTTGTGATACAATGTATCAAAATCTTCTGAAGCCTGTCATAGAGAATTTGTAATAGGAAATCCTTAACAATTATCCATGGTTAATTAGTGACATAGAACGTTAATGAGTAACCATCTACCCACCATCCTTTTGTGCTACCCGAATCAATAAACAATTTAGAGTTTCATGAGACTTGATTATTCAGTGCTTTGTTTATTCAGACATGTAGATATTCAAAAGATGCACAATATTTACTCATCATCCTATTCTGTTTCATATAATAATATTTAGCTTTTATAAAATACTTTTCATCCAAAGATCTCAAAGTGCTTTACAGAGATAGGTAAGTATCTTCATCCACATTTTTCAGATGGGGAAATTGAGTCACAGAAAGGTGAATTGAGCTGTCCAAGGGGACACAGCAAGTCAGCAGCAGAACTGGGAACAGAGCCAAAATCTCCTGACCCCAAATCCAGCATGCTATTCAGTGGGCCATGCTGTTTCTCAGGAAGAACTTGGGAAAAGAAGCAAGTAACTCAGTATGAGGGATGGCACTGAAATACTGTGTACATTTCAAATAAAGAAGATTTCATATAAGTCTAATTATGGTTTTTTTTCTTCTTCCCCCCTTTTGGACATTTTCTTCATCTGACTGCCCATCAATGTTTAGAAGAAATGCATATTCCTACTCCTATTACTTGTAAGTACCTAGCTGGAGATAACTTTTTTTGAGCATGCTCATTATAGTGGTATGGGGGGGGGGGTGTTGTATGTGGTTTTCTCCTTTAATCAGTTGTTTTTTTTTACCATTTCACTGATCTTTGTTCTTCAAACAGCCTGCATTTTTATTTCTTCATTTTCATACTATTTTTGTCATTGTTTCACGCATTGTACCTACATATATCTCTTCAGAACAAGTAAGTGTGCACAGAAATGTCAGTTTACAATTGCAACTCTCCAAATGCAGGTGTGCAAGTAGAGAAACCCTACGTGGCCTCCTTTTTGATAGTTCAGTCCTCTGTATCCAGATTCTTGGAAATTCACATCTAAGAAGTGTTGGTTGGAATTGCTTTGTCTTGAAGACAAACTACTTTAAAATATAATCAATTTCCAAGGGGGCGTACCCTTGTCTTTGTATACATTTCCGATTTAGGATATCCGGGTTAGACTTTAACCCAGCGAATATTCCAATCTTAAGCCACACCTGTAACATGGTGGGTTTCAATCTAGATCATTTGATGTTTACATGGTGCAGATTTTTAATCCAAACCTGCTGCTCAGCCCCAGCGATTACAGTACACATTGAAGTCAGTTGTTAATGCTAGTGAAAATGGTTCATGCACAGGTGCCACACATGCTAGGGCATGCCTGTGTGGCAGTTATTGGGTATGTCAAAGGAGTCTCACTTACACAAACTATTTGCCTTCTTTGACTTCAGTGAGAGTTAGTCTCTTTGATACATGAGCTGAATTTGACATTCAGGGGCTATATTCTGCGCTCGGATATTTAGGTGTAAATCCAGAGTAACGACATAGACTCTAGAGCTAATTCAGATGCACATGGGTATAACTGAGAATAGAATTTGATCCAAAGCATTAAGAATTATGGGCATAAATTAAAGTGGAATGGGGGCTGCTTTACAACTTCCAGCTAGTTTTAGTCCTTGCTAGAGCCCCTCCTTCTCACCAGGTAAGTTACTCACTTAGGGCTGGTCTACACTGAGGGGGGGGATCAATCTAAGATACGCAACTTCAGCTACGTGAATAACGTAGCTGAAGTCTAGGTATCTTAGATCAATTTACCTGGGGTCCACACGGCGTGGGATCGACGGCTGCAACTCCCCCGTCGACTCCGCTACCACCACTCACTCCAGTGGAGTTCTGGAGTTGACGGGGAGCGCGTTCGGGGATCGATATATCGCATCTTAACGAGACGTGATATATCGATCCCCAATAAATCGATCACTACCCGCTGATACAGCGGGTAGTGAAGACGTAACCTTAGCATACCTTTGGAATGTCAGAAAAGCACAGGTTGCACTATTTTTCTGCTTTCACCTATTTATACCCATTTTATGATCAACAGACACCACTGCCTATGAATTTGGCCCATGGTCTTCTATGAAAGCTGTACCCTCTTACTCCAGACTACATAGGACAGAAATTTGCCCATTTCATAAACTGAGTTTTACATATTCAGAAATCATGTCAGGGGTGTGTTCAGAAACAGGGGAAGTGTCAAGCACAACTTCTGGAACAGCCCCTTGGGCCCACAGTAGCTGGCACAATTTAGAGCAACCTCAAGGTTGCCCTAACTTGCAGCAAGGGCAGAAACAGGCATCAGGAAGCTGCAATGGTGCCTTAGTCCCTTCCCCTCCACCCTCAATTTTCAGCTCCACCAAACAGAGCTTGATGACATCTGAGGATTAAACCTCACATATTAATGTACGGTTGACAGTGTGGCATGCAGGAGGTGGGGAGAGAAGTTAGGTTTCTCTCATCCACAACTCAAATCTGAGAACAGTAGGAATGGCTTGAAGTATCATAGACTATCAAGTCAGCATAGACAGCTGTGTACAGGCTCCCTTTTGGGGGCTTCAAATCCCCTGAATTTCACTTTTGGTTCAAAATGAAACTTGGACAAAACAAGGTCTTGTTGTTTTTAGTCACCATCATTATTTGAACAGTGCACAGGGCATGGAGGATACTTTATAGAAAAAGGAAAAAGCCAACTCTTTCTGTGCCTCAAGGCTCATACAGTTAAGTTTTACCTGGTTTCAAATTTCAAGTTAAAGCCACGTGAAAGGGTGAGTTTTGCCTGGGTAGGCATAGGATCATAAATCAACCAGGGTTTGCACAATACTGAGCCCAGCCTCATACAAATGTTTTGACAAATTTAGTATGAATTTCATAGCTGGATCCCAAACTGACCAAGTTTCACCTGTTTTGGGGTTTCATTGCCAATATTCTGCGCAGCTCTAGTGGAGTTGTGTGGGTTCCAAATAATGGTCTTGTTTTGTGAATTTGAAGAAAAAAAAAAAAAGGTAGCCCCACTACTGGATAATCCCTAAGCTCACTTCCCTGGATATAGAAGCTGCTGTACTGATAGCACTTTCCAGACTCCAGTAAACCCAGAGTTAAGCCCTGGGGATCTTCTTTCTTCTGGTAAAATACTGTGGAATATCTTGGTGCCACAAACATGCACATTTCTCATGGAAATCCATAGCTCCTTTTTAAAGTGAATACAATTGTTATGGTACATTTTAATTTTTCTTTTTGGCCAATTATCCAAAAGCTTGAAAGCAAGTCTTTGGAGGAATAGGTATGGGCTCCAGGTGGACAAGGACTGCCTGAAATGACTGCACTTAATTTGACTGACTATTTTACCTCTTGGACAGCTTATGAAGAAAATAGTTTATTTTCAAGTTTAGAGAAAACAAACAAACAACAGCAATAATTTTTTAAATGAAACCGGTTCCTATTCAAGACTTTGTGTGCCAAGTTTTAACCCTGAAGCAAATTTGAATTGGATGAGTTATCACTCCTGAAAAACAGGTTTTCAAATAAATCTGCTGACAGATCCTTAAATTCAACTGCATTGACTGGGTTTCTGAAACTTACATTATTTGTGGTTTCCGTTTCTCGAATTCACCTCTGTGCTTCTTGGAATAATTCTTTTCTTTTTCTTTTAAATCACTGTTTTAACCCTTCCTCGGCTACTTGCCTGAAGTTTCTTTTCGCTAGGGGCCTGAATCCACAGCCCACCTCATGCTGGGTAGTACTTCCTCACCAGTGTAGTCTCACTGAAGTCACTGAAGAACTCATACTTAGTGTGAACTTTTGCAGAATTGGGCCATAAGTGTTGCAATAGCTATTAAAGGCCAGTCTCTGGCCTTAGATTCTAACAGATCTTATTGCAGTCAACAGCTAAAGAACCTGATTCTGCAAGGTGGCCAAATACCCTCAATTCCCATTGAAGCCAATGATAGTTGAAGATACTCATTCCTTTGCAGGAGGAGCTTTGCATGTCATGGAATGGGGTCCTAGTGAGCTGGGGGGGGGGGGGGGAAAGAGTAACAATAAGGAGAATCAGAAATGACACATTTTTTCTTTCTGCATCTGAAGATTATTACTCCTTATCTGTTGAGTGCTGATTCTGTGCTAAACTGGGCACCTTGTGGGATATTTTTGTATGGCAACACCTCATTGAAAGACCAGACAGAACAAGTTGAGTGGGATACTCTATTGTTCTAACGGGGAGGCCACCTGAACTAGTGGTTAAACAGAGGTCTCAAAGCAGGAGACCTGGGTCTGTTCCACATTCTGCTACTCTGGGTGATCTTGGGAAGATGCACTTACTTTTTCTGTATCTCAATTTTCCCTTCTGTCAAATAGTTAGTTATTGCAGATGCTTTGAGATCATTGGACATATTGTGCTCTATGAATGGAAAATAGTATTAATATGTTCCCACCTTTTCGTTAGGGAAAGGGAAAGATAAAGGGTTGTGAACTCCTGCCTTCTTGATGATTGAACCACTGAATACATCATTGCTACCCACATGATCCGTGCAATATTTCAAAGGAGTTACTCTGGATTTATATCAGTATACATTAGAAGAATTTGTCTTAAGGTTCCTAGCTCTGTCACACTGCATATATGTAGTCTTTTTTTTTTGGTCTTGTTAAATATATAATGTACTGTTGTGCTATTTGTTTTGAATATATATTCATAACATACCTGAGGGGTGCCATGCGGCTTAGTTAACATTGCAGTAGAAGCCTTACATTTTTAATTTCTTTACTTTCTACCATTTTAGCTAAACAGTCTTAATATTGCATTAATGTAGGTTTTGTATTTAAAACCAGGCACCTGCTTTAATCATTTATTCATCAGACAGTAGTTTTCACTGCACCAACTTTTATAAAGGTTTTATTTATACCCAAACTAGTGAAAGAAAAAAGGTGTTGATTTTGTTGTGTCTTCTTTCCAGTGACTGTGTGCAGTGAGTTACCTAGGTAATAGCTGCAGGGTGAAATTTGATTGGCAGTGATGTCATATTTGATGGGAAGTATTTCTTGTGATAGGTGGATGCAGGCGATAATATCACCCAGATAGCAGACTATTTTGTTTTCTACAGTTTAAGAGAAACTCAGCAGCAGATAAGTAGCTTTTATTTACTCCTGATCCAGAAAAAGTGCCAAGCACCTTCTGCTCGGGGCTGAGCACTTTAAACTCCCATTGTAATTGGATGTGTAGGGTAATAGTTGCAGTAATTGAGCTAGGAGTGGTTTTTATTTATTTTTTTTATTTTAAGTAGTGATTCATAGACTCATAGACTTTAAGGTCAGAAGGGACCATTATGATCATCTAGTCTGACCTCCCGCATGATGCAGGCCACAAAGCCGTCCCAACCCCTTTCCCTTGACTCTGCTGTTGAAGTCCCCAAATCCTGTGGTTTAGAGACTTCAAGTAGCAGAGAATCCTCCAGCTAGCGACCCCTGCCCCATGCTGCGGAGGAAGGCGAAAAACCTCCAGGGCCTCTGCCAATCTACCCTGGAGGAAAATTCCTTCCCGACCCCAAATATGACGATCAGTAGAACCCCGAGCATGTAGGCAAGATTCTCCAGCCAGACCCTCATTGGCCATTGATACTATTTACCAGCAATGGCACGCTGTTCAATTAACTAAAATCATGTTATC